TTATCCATAAGCCCTAAACCCTGAAACCCTGGGGCAAGGCAGCACAGCGCCTCGCAAAGCTTGGATTGAAACTAGAATCAACTGCTGCTGAAAGCCCCTGAAACTAATCCCCTCCCCTAATCATCAACCTCCCCACCCCCATGTTCCCAGAATGGTATGTGGTGAAAGATTCGGAGTATTTCTCATTAGGGGAAGGAGGGGGGATTTTTCTGACCTTTGGCTTGCTGAAGGTTTGGGTCATTCCATGGCTCAAAACAGCAGAGTCATCTCTTGTATTTAGGGTGCGATGTAGACTCCTGTCTTTTGGCCAGCAACATCCTGAAGTGAGCAGAATGCATTCCTATACGGTTTCCTAAATTAGGGGTGCCCCGAGAAGATCCCAAAATACTATAGTCGTTCTTATTGTAATCCCCCAGAAAGTTACCCCTACTGTTTTTGAACCCGTAATCCTAAGCCCTAACTCCTAAATTTTGGACCACCGAAGGTACCCCTAATTTTGGTCAGCCCACATATCACTTCAATGTAACTGGAACGGAAGGCCCTAAGCGCACAACTTGGATCAGTCGCTGTGTGCCTTATTATGCCCTGCTAATAACGGTCATAATAGTACTAATGATTTTAATAAGGATCGTAATGCTAGTATTGATAGTCGTAATGGTAAGAATTGCAGAAATAGTACTAATAGTAGTAACAGCAGTAGTACTAATCTAGTTATACTTGCTATTCGTGGTAAAAATGTTAGCAACTGTCACAGCTTTGGAACTACTTTGTCAAACTATGTTTGGGGTTCTCGTTTGGCACTGGGATCCTACCCGGTCAATGAGTGAGGGCGTGCGTGCAAGGGCCTTGCCATTGAAGCATGGAGCTCTACGTGCTATGTGCTACCAATACGTTGCACCCTTCAACCCAACAGACAGCACGACACGTGCGCTTGGTATGCCCGGTGTATCATTTTTTGGTATTATTGTTATACTATTAATATTATTCTATTCTTACTATTCTCATTGTTCTTATAATAAAAAATAGTATTATTATTATGACAGTAGTAGTAGTAGTAGTAGTAGTAATGGTGTTAATATTAGTATTAGTATTACTAATTAGTATTATTGTCAGTGCTATTGTTTATTATTTCTTATTTCTTATGTAGTACTTATCATGTATTATTTAGTACTTGTTATTTGTTATTTGTTTTTTAATTATATGTTGTTTATGCTTTACTATCTAGTATCTAATATCTATGTTTCATCGTTTATTATTTATTGTTGGTTATTTATTGTTTATGGTTTGTTATTGTTTATCTGTTATTCATCATGTACCATTTGCTGTTATTGTGTATTACTTACTATTTGTTGTTTATTTTTTTTTATTTTTTACCATTTATTATTTTTCATTATTATTATTGCTATTGTTGTTACTATCATTATCATTATTAGTTTTATTCGTATTATTATCATTATTTATTCTTCTTCATGCTCTTCTTAGCATTACTATTATTAATATCTTATTGTTATTATTGTTATTCTTCTTCTTATCCTTCTTAGTATCACTATTAATGTCATTATCATTATTTTTTGTTGTGGTTATTATGTATTCTTATTTGTTATTATGAGAACTTATTATTATTATCATCATAAGTATTTTTAATAATTCACATTAATAACATTGTTATGACTATTACGATATTGTCTAGTATTAGTATTAGCACTAGTATTATGATCATGATTATTTCTACTGGTATTGGGGTTTTTTACTCTAATAATTAGTAGAGCATGGGCCTTAGTATTAGTATTGACATTATCAACATTCTTGCGACGATTTAGTAGGACTAGCGCTCTGTATACAGTCCAGAATCTGCTGCAAGGGTCCCCCACGATGAAACTCATGCACTTTGAAACGAGGCGAGCTGATTATGGCTGGTCTGGCAAAGCATCTCAGCTTTTTTGGCGGCATAGCAGCTGTGTACTGCCTGATTAAGGGAGCACGTTCTGCGTCATTCCCCTTTGCGCTAGCTGTCCCTAAAGTCCCTAAAGGCTTTGTTTCAATTAAGGCGATATCATAATTCCCAGTATTTCTTGTGGTAACTATTACTGTAAGGGGAGATGACGATGTAGCTTCATGGGTCACGAATCCAAATTATGCAGCGACGAAGGTGATGGTGATGGTGATGATGATGATGATGAATGATAACGATGATGATGATCCTAGGTGTTCGGCCTGGGGCACATTGTATCTTGTGATGCTGCAGCCAGCAACACTTGGTAATACTAGCCGATACGAGCATTGTTTCTCTTGACTTTGTTTAAATGCTTATGCCCACAGTCGTGGACTATAGACCCTCAACCCTAAACCGTGTGCTGTAGCAGCTGAGGGCGCCATCATGGTAGTAGGACCCGTGCTATTGCGTCATGAGGCGCATTTCTAGCAACCAGGGGCCGCCCCTGGAGCAATTCAGGGGTTTGGGCGTGTTGGTTTGTGGTTGAGGCAATTGTGGCTGTAAAGTCGAACACCCACAAAAACAGAAATTTGCATTTTCATCTCCATACATTGAGGGAGAAGTCACTTTGCGGGGGAGGCTGGCAGAGGAAAGGGTGTCTATGATCACTGTCTAGATCTGTTTGCGTAGTGTATACACTCCACATATGTATATCAGCACTTTGCAAAAACCAGTATTTGCCATAGACCCTAAACCCTAAACCTAAAACCCTAAACCCTGCACCTTGCATGGGCTCGAGGATTGCGTTGAGTAGCGTGCCCTCATTGTCCATCCTTACACCTTTAAGGGTGTAGGGGTTTAGGGTTTAGGCCTCTATCGCACAAATTACCTGATTAGTTTTACTAGGATGCCATAAACCTTGCTGCATGTGCACATATGGCCTGAACACACCAAACAGTGAATCATGCGGTACAGAAAAGCGGCCGGCTTTCATTCACAGGCTCCAGGGACTATGGCTTTTCAAAACATAGCAGACTACTGGGGCCCCAGGCGAAAACAGTGAAGAACAAACAGCAACATATTTCATTAGCGTTCTAGGGTATTCGTCTGTCAGGTCGTGTATTGTGTGTTTGTGCATTCGTTTAGGGTCAGTTTCTGCTTCTACAGCCCAACAGACCTCTTCCTCACGAACACATCCCCAGCTTCAAGCTCGAGCCCAGCAGCCTACACCTCGGTCCTATTTGGCAGTTTCCCTACATAGGGGGGGGGGGAGGGAACCCTAGTATAGACCCCAAAATACTATAGTCCTTATTATGGGGACCCGCAAAAATGGTACCCCTGTTTTGGAAAGTTCCCGTTTCCCCACTCATCAGGGTATAGGTGTAGCTGGAGTTATCATCATTCGTTGCACGAGATCCAAAATGTTCCTTCATTCCTGGTATGACATATACCAATCTGCTACAAAACCCAGCTAATTGCGCACTAAATTTGCAGGTATTGTGTGGAGACGCGACGGCCAACAGCACGTCGTCTGCGGTTGCAACAGGCCTTTGGGGCTCCTACAAGTCCCCTTCGTAGACAACTCTAGTTTTGAATCCCCTCCCGAAATAGAAAACCTTTTCAGCCTGAGCAACAAGCTTTTTCGGCTGTGGCACAGACAAGTTGTTGGAACATTTATTGTTGCAAGCACGGCACCCTGCTTTTTGGTTGCAAACATGCGGCAACATTCCGCAGATTTGAAAAAGGACTCTCAAGCATCGCCCTGGTTTCCCGCTTGCCTCCTCGCAGAGGATGTCCTTGCCATGGCTAGTGGTCTGTGTTTCGGCACAGCTCGTGGTGCCCGTACACGCCTTCGACCCTATAGCTGATGTCAACCAGCTTCTTGAAACACACCAGGAAAGGTTTGTTGTGGAGGTGTTGGAACAGAGGGGTATTGCTCAGAACTTAGTGTGTCAATTCTTCTGGCCCCCCTGTAGCCAGGACACCATTCTGTTGGGGCCACGTACGAAGGCTCTAGGTTGGAGAACAGCCCATATCTTCCCTGATGGCTTGCGTATACAGAGTCATCCACTCATACGCTTAAGGGGACGGCTCTATAACTCGTAAGGCTGTGACGTGGCTCGTATCGCCTCCATCAACTACAAAAAGGGTTTAAGGCTTGAGTTTAGGGCTTAGGGTGCACTGTCGATGGAGCCCCCACTCTTGCCGGAGTGGGGAGCCCAAAAAATGGCCGCAATTCAAGGGCCTCCGGCTCATGCCGCGGACCTCAGACCGTCAACCCTTACAGAATCGGGACCTGGCAAGTTTCCTGGCGCTGCCCTTTCATGCGTGCCTGTGCATAAGCATACCGGGACCTGCGACCATGCGTGCGCAGGCAAGAAGAAAAACGCATCCCTTAACTGCCTTAACTAGCGTCTTGTACGGAAGAATGTCCTGTAGGGCTAGCATGCACAATGAGTCAGTTTTCCAGCCGGCAACGAGAACTACGACCATAGGATTGCCACTATGTTTTGTCGAGCCTTGGCTCAGCCTGTGCACGTCAGCCCTACGCGCTGCCTCTGGTCGACGGACACTGTAGAACGAGAAGAAAGTTGTTTATCATGTCCCAACCTTGTATCTGCCGCACGCCAATCCCTTTGCTGCGTTTGGGGATCTAGGGGGGAGGGAGAAGCGGGATTGCCATGTCCGCTGACCATCCGGATTTAGGGATGTGGCATAGTTGGGGTGCTGCATGTGATTTCCAACAGTGCGAGGTATATGATCTATAGTCTAAACTGAGTCTAAACTCCTAGTGTCCCCTGTAATAACCCCTACGTAGTCCCCAATATAATCCCTATACATCCCGATTTGACTATAGCTCATATGATCCTTCGGCTCCATGTGCCAAAATGCCCAACTCAGGTTGCTCATCCTCGTCTTGCTTGTGTTGGGGGTCTATTTGGCCTTCCTTTACAGAGATCGCGTGATGGTGCTCCTGACAGGGGACGACCGCTTTCACGTGGACCTGAACTCCATGATCTGGAAGGTACTGACTCTGTGTGGAACCTGTGAATGCAAGTGGACAGCAATGTTGACGAATTCTTGTTGCTGGCCAACTTGCTGGCCGTTTGGCTACTGCAAGGGCAAGAATCTGTTGAGGCTCTTTGGCCAGTACATGGGTGTTGTACAAACCCCAGTAAAGCTCGTGAACGTCATAGTCGGAGATCTTCCAACCCACGAGACTGGTGATTTCTACTTGACGGTTGAGACTGGCAGCAACCCTCCACAGATTACGGCAGTGGTGGAGAACGCGGAGCCAAAGTTCGTCAAGTTCCCAGATGAAATGCTCATCAAGATTAGAGATTCTTCTTTGGAGTCTAGGAACCCCAGTGGTACCCTTTTGTCCTTTTTGGTTTCTGGGTTCCCTTATACAATATACCAACAGAAAAAAAAGGCTATCCGTATTGTAATAGGGTTACTGGGCTACCAAGGAGTCCAACGTGCGATTCTGTTTGAAGAAGCTCAACGCATTGGGAAGCCAAGAGCTCTGCGAGGCCTACGTGAGTCCCAAGATGCTGCTGTTTTGGATGGAGCAGGACTGGGTTTAGGGTGTAGGGTTTAGGCCCCTGGAATATTTGCGGCGAAATGGGGTTCCCCCTAATATACCCCAAAATACTAACAATATATATATATATAGATAGATAGATATAGATAGAGTCTTTCTTATAGGACCCCAACAACGGAACCATATCTTTTGGAGGCCCCCACATTCTGTTTTCACTATCGGGTTGTAAGCGGACCCCATATACCAACATTTTTCGCTAGGTTTTATAGGGGCCAACCCAGAGGAGGAGAGCGTTCGCGTTCGAATGGAGCCAGTTGACAGGGCTCACACTTTCGCGCTGCCAACATGGATACTGATTGACGTCATAGAGTATGGTCAAATGCATGCTGACCATGACATCACAATCTACGACTTCCGGCAAAAGAAAACGACCCAGAATTCAGAGGTGAAGGTGGCCCAGCTACATGGGGGTTTCCCAAAATTAAGGGTACCGTATTGGGGGTCCCCATAATAAGGATTATAGTATGTTGGGGTCTATATTGGGGTTCCCCCTCTTTTGGGAAGCTACCACATGAGCTTCAACATTGCCTTTTTCTGTCTCTCAAACTTCAGAGTTTAGCTTGCATGGAGATCATTGCGTCCGGGATCCATGCATGTCTGCGTGCACAAATGTAAAGTATGTATATGACTATGCGTCTACCTACAGTATCGACATAACTGTCTATGCATGCATGGATGGATGGAAGGATGCGCGGACCCTTGTGTGTGTGTGTGTGTCTGTTCCTACATACTGTATTCAGCCCAGGTGCACCCAACCTACAAGAGCTTCAAATCAGAATATTCCTTGATGGATCCAGCCGGATTGCAGGCGCAGGAGCCTGACGCTCGCCCTTCATTTGGCCTACTCCTAAGAGCTCTGCTTTGTGATCGGGCCTAAACGCAAAACCGGCATCGACGCCCGCAACCCTGAACCCTAGGTGCATCGTGTCCCCAGCCTTCAGTGCGAGATTTTGATCTGAACCAAGTATTCCAGGAGTGAGGTATCCTCACTGTAAAGAAGCACCCCATACCTTAACACTGGTGTATTTCCTTTGCACAGTCTCTCACGGAATGTGAACGGGGGTTTGACAGGCGTGCCAAGAGCTCCCACTATGGGTTTGAAACAAAACTATATGAGCTCGAGCCTTAGACCTTAGCTTGCTCAGTCTGGGAGGAAATGAAGACCTGAAGTTCGAAGTACTGGGATTCTGTGGGGTTTGGGGTTTGACAGGTTTGAGGTGTTGGTTTACGGCTCAAGGCTGATGTCCGATTGGACCCTGCAGTACTGTCTGAACTCCGACTCCAGAGAGCCTAAGCCCCAAAGAGTCTTTCAGCCAGGAACCCCTGGTCCCGCCAACTACACTAAACCACAAGCTTATGTGGCCAAGGATGAAGATCTGGTAGGTTGGATCGACTGGGCCAGTCGTCGAAAGCTTCTTTGCTAAATGACGATAACGCAACTGCGACTCCCCAAGAGAATGCACTTGCAGTGTCCGTCGTCGTCGTTGTACTAGACGACGTCGTGGTTGTGGCCATGGTGCTCCTCTTGTTTGTGGTCGTGGCCGTAGTGGTCTTCATGGTCTCTTGCTGCTTGTGCTGGTGCTGGTGCTGGT